GAAATTATCTGTCAGTGGGTTATACTGCCCCGCCCCCTCCATATTTTTCATCTCAAAACTTTGGCATAATCCAATAGCTACAAAGCTATTCGAAGAAGAAAAAAAAATTGCGATACTGGACGGTAAGGTTCAAAACTTGTACGCCCATTTCATTTTTGGGGGTAGATTGAAAGATATCGATGAAAGTCATCAGAACCTGCAATTCAAACGCCACTACAGTTTCTGTGACATTCCAATGCCCCCCCCCTGCCAATACGCATACACACTCTCAAAATTAATGAGAGAAACTGATGCCAAGCATCATTTATTTTAAAAAGCACACTTAATTTTATAATTAAATAGATCATGAAGAATAAAATGATACAGGAAAAGTTTGAAATAACCCGCTCTTCGATCCACTCTAAAATTTGAAATAAATCCAGATAAATAACTCATAAATCCAGATCTAATCTACAGTTTTGTGACAGAGACCGATTATTAGGACATTACCGAATAATACGATACTAATTATATTAAAATAATAGACAGGATTTACACTGTGAAACATTTACATGTAAATACTTGGTAATGGTGGGTATAGCTTGCACCTCCCCCTTCCATGTGCCATGCCCATCCAACCTCCCCTAGATAAAAACAATAGATATTAGTGCCAATTACAATATACTTTTGAAAAATCAGTGTTTATGCCTAGATTGTTAAAGGCAAGCATAATGTATGCCAGCACCATATCCTTCTTACTTCCTTTCCCTCTTTCTCTAAAGTTTGACAAAAGTCGATTTCTATAAGTATTCATCTCTCTTTGTCATGATTGATTGATTGATTGATTTGTTGAGGGACAAGAAACCTGTTAAAGTTATTTGTGAAATAACATGTGATTTGGATTCATAAGACGGACAGGGTCTAAACGATTTAAGAGATTTTTAATAATCAGGGGCTTAATATAAGGGGAAAGGGGCCAATGTGCAAGTTATGCACACAAAACCGTTTTAAAATATGAAATGAGGAAATAGCGAGGAGGCTTAGCGGAGATGGCATTTAGTTTTAACTAGTATGGTGAGGTTACAATTTGATAGGTAATGATATAACATAACATAAACATCCTTTATGAACAACTTAAAGTCCTTGATTATTCGTTTGTTGAAATTGAACATTAATATAATCATAATGATGTTGCATTCAGTCGGCTTTTGAATGAGCTGGAAGCTCCTCTCACCTTTGGCCTGCTATGATTGCTAGTTGAATCACTTCGTGACAGGTACCAAGAAAATTGTTAAAGAACTTGGTGTAGGTATGACAGATCAATACTGGACGACTATACACTAAAACAGGAGTTCCAGAGTATTTCAGTCCTGGATCAGAATCGCGGTTCAAGATTTATATATGATTATGCACCGATTGCATCCACAGCACCAATGATGCCCTGGAGTAGCTGGAGCGCCTTATGGATGAGATAATATCAAAATCCACACACTCTTACAAGAACCAAAGATTTGTGAAAACACATTATGAAAAATCAAAGAGGGAAATCGATGAGAGAATTTCAACTGGGATCTCCCTCACAAGTACCTATACGACAAGCTGTGGCCCAATACCACAATGAAGTGAAGGTGGAAGAGACATTGTAGGCCAGGCGGCAGCAGAGGATGCTATCATGTAGTATCTGCAATGTCTTTCATTTCAAAGAATAAAAAAGAGCTAGGGATGGGGTACAAATTCTCAACCCAAGCCGTCCAGTATCTCCCAATTCGGTTTAGCGCTGAAATCACATCTATCTTTCGAATTCTGGGCCCCGTCTTACATGTAGTTGCGATATATCCAACTAAGGAGCCTAATACTCCTTGTCCAAACCAACTTTATCTTGAATAATTATCTTGAAATCAATTCACAACTCTGTTTGAACAGTGGCGCCTAGAGCAATCAATGTAACTGCCCCCCCCCTTGCCCAAACGTATCTACGTAACTGCACAAGTAAGGCGACTGGCATGGGAATTTTGCAAGAGAGCAAATCGATCGAGTTGTAGGCCTATATGTATAGTTTCATATTTTAATCATAGATAAGTTGTTTTCTATTCATTTCTACTTAAATAGTGAACAAAATTAGCGAACACTACGGTCGAGGAATATAGTAAGGTAACCTAAAGATAAGATTTTTTTCAAGAATTGAAGTTTTTTACAAAGGTTGAAAGATGATTTTCTTTTGAGAAAGTTGCCATTGCAAACATTCAGTTATTTAGGGTGCAATATCTCACAAGAGGCTGGTGAAACTTATAAAAGGGGGCAAAGCAATGGGAATTACTTGTTGGTGTCAAATTTGGACCCATTTAAAAAGTGCTAATTATAAACTATATCTATATTTGTGTCCAAAATTAGGAGATCCTGTGCAACCTACGCTACCGAGCTTTAACAAAAATTATATTTCTAATGCATTTAGCCTCGCATATTGGGGCGCATGTATTCAATGGGATCAAAAGTTTCTCTCTTTTACGTTTTTGTGTGCCCCTTTTTGTACTCCCTTCAAATGCACGTGCCCCCTATCCCCATAGAGATACCACTGCATACCAAATAGATATAAATATGTAGGTTTGTGTTTGGTTGGAAGGCTTTCGATCAAACTGGATTAATCATATGTCTTAATGAAGACAATGTACTAATTTATCGATTGCAATGTACTTTATGAATATAGCTTTGTAAAAAATGCTCTTATTTGGTTCTAGAAGTGGGGGGGGGGGGGGGATGGTCACAGAAGGGGCAAGGGTGGGTGCACATTCTGAACTCCTACATCTATTGTCTTCATGATTCAGACTGAAAATCATGACTATCACCTGGAATGGATCCAGAACTCATTTTATGTATCACTTAACCGGTAGCCTGCATTATCTCTGAACACACATCATGTCCTACACAACAAACTGCCCCCATCCCAAAATTACTCTTGAATTTAATGGGGGAGGGGGGGGGGGGGTGAAAGTTCTGAACCACACCATGCACACCATGCACTATGAACATGTTTAAGACAGCAAATTATGTCTGTCACAGGTCTTATTTCATGTATTATTTGACCAATATCCTAATTTTTCACTGTAAGAACACATTATATAACAGTTGCTAGGCATATTATCACCATAGCAACGGGAACTAAGCGATATATATCATTAAGATATGATGAAAATGCAACATCTGACATACTTCCTATCAAAGTCGTCATCTGCTTAGTAATAGCATCTTCTCGCGATATATTCTATTTTTCACGTCACTATGTTACTGTTGCTAAGGAGAAGACAGCCCTTAGCAACCAAATTTGCCATTTTGGCTCATAACAAAGTCTCAACTTTAGAGCGCTACAACTTTTTAGTAAAACGAGCCATAAACTTGGAATTCGCATATAATATCAACCATGTGTCTGTTCAGTTTTTCAGCAGGTTTCAAGTCAGTTATCATCATAGTCGATTAAATATGGAGAAATATGTATTGATGTGCAATTCATATTTTTGAAAAAAATAGTTAAAAATCACATTTTGGCTCAAAATTGTTTAGCAATTCATCCCCAAACCTATTGAATGAGGTATTATCTTGTAGGTAATTTAATTGTCTTTCATATGACACCTTACACATGGTAGAATGAGGTACTGTTAAAAAGTAATCCCCAGAGTCGTACAACAGTAGTTATAGATGGCGGCCATTTTGAAAAATGGCCGCCATTTTTTTCCAGTAGCATATTGCAAAGGTAGTCCACCTAGAAATTGTGCAGGGAGGTCACCTGAACACATTAATACCCAACAACCTTTTACAACATTCCATGTCTCAAGAACCTGCTGTGCCCCCTGGGTATACGTGATTGAATCCAAAAAAAGGAAAGCATGACCTCTTGTGAGGTAAGGACTAAGGACTAATCAAGGCCAAGGCTTGTCCATGATGTAATTATTAAGAAAAGGGATGGACAGAAACAAGAAATCCATAGTGAGTTCATTATAAACATGATGTAAAACAGTTTAACACACCAAAGCATCTCAAATTCTCAATCTAACAGAGCGATGTGAAGAAAGTAAATGGTACAGATAAATACACAAGAAATATGTACAGTGGCAGCCTAAGTCAAGCAATCATTTATAAAACCGAGGCTTTGCCAAGGCATATATGTTAAGTATGCGTCTATAGGGCAAATAAGATGTACCGGTAATCATTTACAACCTGTCAGCCAAGATCAAACTTTTGGAATGTATGATTTTTGGGAGGGGTCGTGTCTTATCAATTTCTGTTTATTGATAATAATTATAACATTTGGGTCTGGGCCTATGACTCATGAGTATGATTTATATATATTGTTTTGTATGTGTATAGACTCAAATACATGTAGCTGGGTTTTATGCAATATGAAAGCCTTAAAGGGATCCAGTAACTTTGTCTTAGATTCTGAAACAAAATCCTGGATTTAGCTCATGCTGCAATGATAATTATAAACCTTTAGGTCAGTCAAGAACTCCATGACTTTCACAAGCCGATCGCCTGTCTGATTATCAAGGTATTTATGATTGGAAATCGAAACCAAATTTTGCGTTTGCCAAACGGTTTTTATAACACTACAGTCCATTGGGAAAAACCGAGTACCGGTATGGTAAAAACCGGTCACTCAAAGATTTTTACTTTTTTGAGGCACTTCTTGACCATTTTGAACCACAATTTTGTTAGGGCTTCAATATTACACCATATCACAGAAACTGATAACACGTAGAGCCGTGTTTCTCAGATTTAGCACTGTTAAACGATGCCTTTAACGGTGAGCATTTTGCATATATATATATGCATAACATTGGGGGATGATTATATAGGCCATCCCCCCTTGGTCAAACATTGGGGGGCGGGGGGATATATCCCCCATCCCCCCATCCCCCCCCCCCCATAATCTCCACCTATGGATATAGTGAAATTGAAACTCTTACGGATCTTTATTCCAACTGTTTTATGTTCATAATGTTTATATTTCTGAATATTGTTTTCAGGTTTTGTTTTCAGGTATTGTTGCCCATGTCTTATCACCATTTTCCAGAGGACTACATTTCTGTCGAGTGAGAAAGACATCTTACACCATGGATGGATTCTGCCTTCTCTATCTGCTCCTGATCCTCTTGATGAGATCTGGTGACGTTGAAACCAATCCAGGTCCGAACACTGCAGTAAGGTATGCATACTAGTAGTTCCTTCAGGGATTAACAATACAGTTGAGTTCTGGGCCCTGTTTCATAAACCTTGTTATCGATAACAAGTTACAATAATTGTTATTAGCTACTGAAATTGTGGCATTTGATTGGCTGAGAGCAGATTTGTGATTGATAACAAGTTTTATGAAACAGAGACCTTCAGTGAAATTACGAAGTTGCAAATGATAATTTTGCCCAGTCTTGCTAAAGTCACATGTACTGGACACAGAAATGTTAATATGAGACTGCACAAACATGTGGCGGAAAATTGTGGTCCACAGCAAAATATTTATCATATTAAAAAAAAAATGAAGAGCTTTCTTTTTCAGGGAAGATTTTTTTCTTTGATACTCACAACTTTTTTCTTCACCTTTCCCAGAACTCAACTTTCTTAAACAAGGCAAACCACACAACGTGGCCAATCGTCATGAATGAGTCAATGTGACACTTAAAATTATCATGTTTACAAAAAAACTTAGTGATTACATATTATTCAGCATACTGATGATAATTATGATGACGAAGGTATAATGATAATATTAATAATATAATGATAATAATCCTCATCATCATCATCAATTCTAGTAATGATGGTACCTGTAAACATTATCATTATTTGTACAATTAGTAGTAATCCTTTTCATATTATTATTATCTTTATCATCATAACCATCATTATTGTATTTACTTTCAGACTCTGCTTTTGGGGGAATAATTACCCTTGCCAGAACAAAACCGCTCTCACCTGCAACTTGGGCAATATTATGTTTCAAATGTTAACATCACATGCAGGCATTGCATTCTGATATTCCCAGACTACTATATTGCATGCTCGAGCACGTATGTACACTGTAATACAAGTTGTTGAGTATCACATGATAACTTCTCAGCAAATAGGATGCTCTCTAATTAATATTCTATTATACCCAATTGATTTATTATTCATTTTACAGTACTGTCAGTGAAATGGAGTTCCTGAAGCTGGCCCAGGACATCGCTCCATCTTACTATAACGCTGTAGGGATATCTCTAGGGTTCTCCTATGCTCAACTACAGGCAATCCTGGTTGAGAATTTGAAGAACTACACCAATGCCTTACTGGATGTCTTTATGAAATGGAATGTCATGCAGCAACCTTCACACTCAAACAAACGACAGCTTTTGGCAGACAGACTACGAGAGATTGACTTGGGTTCCCTATCAGACGGATTACTCAATGGACCTCCAATTCCAAACAGCACAGGTAAACAGATTTTAATTCTTGCTACACCAGAAGACATAGAAGACCATTCATAAAAGTGAAGTCAATTTTTACGATAGAGATAGTGAGTGCTCTGTGTTCTATTCATTTGCCACAATTTACAGAAGTGTCAAGTTTTATCAGGCCCTTCGCATCTTTTCATAATTTACTAATTTAGCTTTGTTAATCCTAGATATTTATCTGGACACCAATATCGTACATGTACAATAACTTTGAGTGACAGCAGAATTTAATGTATGTCAGCTTTCTTTACATGCAAACGTTCTACAAAAAAAAAAATATATTCCATTCTGATACTGTAATTATGCATCCGCCCACTGAAGATGGTGCCGATGAAAATATGTTTTGGGGTTGTATCCATCCGTCCTGTTTTTTATTGCGATATTTCAAGAACCACTTGAGGTATGAACTTCACACTTGGTGATAATATTTAATCGCAATAAGAATATAAACTTGATTAGATTTGGGATAAGACAGTGTAGGTCAAAGGCCAAGGGCCATAAGGGTCAAATTAAATTAATTTTAGGGTTTAAGCCCCATTATTGCAATGCATGAGCCTTGAATTTTAAATTTGTTGTTAATATGTATCACCATATTGAGACGAACTAATTATATTTCGGGTTAAGAAGATCAAAGATCAGCAAAATAGCAGGATTATCACCATAATAATAACTATTTAAAGTTATATCCTTCATCAAAAATTGATGGGCTTTTTATTGGTTGAGAGCTCTTCACGTGATAATAATAAACACTATTTTGCAAAAAGTTATATTTTTACGGCTAGCAAAAAAACTGTGAAACGTTTAACTCATAGCCTGCCATAAGGCGGAAGGCACGCTATTGTTAAAATGCTTTGTACACGCGAGCAAGCTACTGTTACTCAGCTTCTTTCATGATTGCACGCATTCATAATAGCAGTTATTGTTCATGCCCATTGGGCTGTGCCTAGTGTTTTGCACGCGCTATTGAAACCATCGCGTTAATCCGATTATCTTGTTATAAATTTGGCATTGGGGGGATTTGCGGCTTGGCACAATGGGGATTACCCCTGTGGCAGGATAAGAGTTAAATGTTAAATTTTTGTTTAGATTTGTTTTCAAATAATATTTTTAATTTAATGAATTTTGATCAATTTCAAAATTTTAAAGCAAATATACCCTGTCCTTGGAAAAATTATTCCAGTGATATTCATGTAGAAGTGTCATGTAAACCTAAAGTACTCAGATTTTGAATGCCCTTAAAACTGAATGAAATCATATAAGTTCAGACAAACATGTACATGTAGGACTTTGTGTCTTTGAGTACATGCACCTAGTCGTAGGCCACACTATTAGCCTCAAGCCTTTACAATTCTTTCAGATGTACCTTGTAAAGAACATACTATGTTTACCTATAGATATTATGTGAATATAGATTATGTATTTTTAGGAGGGCCATCAAGACTGACAGAATCACAGACCAAACCTCCTTCAGCTGAATTTCAGACCAAACCACTTTCTCCTGAACTGGTTGAGCGGTGTGCAAATGATTTCAAGTTCAAGTACAGGTCAACTCTTTGTAAGATCAGAGCTGATCCTCTCAATCCTGCTTCTGTTGTGCAGTTTAAAGAAATGTATACTAATCTGTTCTTACAAGAAGAACATGGAACAGAGAAGCGAAAGCTAAATTTCAATGATATCCTTGGTATCAGAGTCAATGGAGAGTTCCCCAGGCGGATCATGGTTCAGGGAGAGGCTGGGGCTGGAAAGACTACCTTTTGTGCCAAGATTGCCTGGGACTGGATGAGAGGGGAGTATTTCAGTGACTTTGTGTGGGTCTTGATTGTTCCTCTACGTGAATTTAAGCAGCACACTATTGGCGAGATTGCAAAGTCTTATCTGGCCAAAACCAATTCAGCAACAGTTTCTCAGATTACTGAGTATATCCGCTCAAATTCTGACAAGGTATTTATCGCTTTCGATGGGCTAGACGAAGTCAGTGGCAAAATCATGAAGACAGAATCTTGTGAATCACAGCCTACTGATCAAATGCAACTTCAGCCATCACAGCCAAGTGTCACCTCCTCAGAGGCATGTGGAAGCTTATCTGAGACTGGTGATATTGGACTTGTAGATATTCTTTGTTCGGATCAACTTGCCTCTTGCCCAGTCTTGGTGACGACTCGCCCATGGAGAGCAGTAGAGTTTAGATCAGATGGTGATCTAATGAAGCTCTACACATTCATTCATGTTGAGGGTTTCGACAGAGAGAATTTGTCAGTTTACATTCACAAATACTTTCCAAACAATGATGATAAAGCAAATCAGCTTATCCAGTTCACCATTGATAATGATATCATATCTGAATACATGGCCCACTATCCTATATATGTAGCCATGTTGTGTCTTATGTGGAAACAACTTGATGAGCCAAAACTAAAGGAAATGAAATCACTGAAAACCTTTTCTCAGATATTCAATGAAATGATTGGCTTTCTAAAAGAACATTATGCTCAGAAAGAGGTGAAGAAAGTAGGCAGCCCCTCACTTAATGCCTATTTGAAAAAAATTGATGAGCTTCTTGGACCTATTGCCAAACAGGCCCTCAATGGTCTGCTAGAAAATGCATTGGTTTTCAGTGAAGATGATTTCGAAATATGCCCAGAATCCAAGGACACTGCCTGTCGGGTTGGGATTTTGTCTCAGGAGGACAGAATTACCACTAGCATGGACATGCATGAGAGGAATCCTCATGTGCAATTGCATGTCTTCTTCCCTCACAAACTGTTTCAGGAGTATATGGCTGGAGTCCATCTTGCTTCCCTATATGAATCAAATCGTAATGAACTCCACAGGCTGATTGAGCAAGTAGTGCTGCCAAGAAAGGAGGAGTTTAGGTATCTCCTGTACTTCACTGTGTCACATAACAAAAGCATTGCAGCCCATATAATGAGGTCTATGCTACATGATATATCCATGAACAGAGGGGCTTCACTGCAGGAACAGAATATAGATTTCATTGTTGATGTAGCCTTTGAGAGTCAGGACCCAGATGTAGCAGCCTTGGTGAAGGCCATGATTTCATCAGAGAAGAGTGTGCTGGGCGACACATCAGCACACACTGTAGCTGGTTATGTATTCACTGGGGTACCTGTGGTAAGTTTAATCATTGATTGATAACCACAATTAGTTTATCCATTTTTGTACAAGTAATTCATCTTTTGTAATTTTATCATAGTACAACAGTAAAATCATGGAAGGGTGTATCCCAACTAGCACATGTGCTATTATCTGTACTATTATCTAAGTACACTGTTGGTCATAATGGTGGAATAATTATTTTTACCCCAATTTATTGAATGATTTTGACAATGGTTTATTCCTAATAGTTCTAGATAATAGTATACATTCTCAGATTTTATTGAATGACAATTGGGGAGTGTTTGTTTTGCGTGACTGCTAAAGCATGTGTGTGCTACAATGATAATCAACTAGGGGACCTACGTCCTTAAGTCATAACTGACAGTAATGGGGATTATGATACCTCATAAAAGGGCACTAATATAGCACATCGACACGGTTTTGATCCTGGGGGCTCAGTAACGAGGTCATTGCTTAGCCAATGAATCATGCCTGTACGCAGCGGGCGCTAGGGTACGTCGACGCCCCCACAAAAACACAAAAACAAAGAAAATGCAATAAATTTTCAATAATTTATTGCATTTTGCCCCGACCCCCAACATAAACAAATCTTCTTTGTGGACATGCCTTGAACCATAATGCATGGCCCTACAGAGGAATTATTCCACCATTATGACCAACAGTGTATATCAAGAACTGCAATGCCCGCATTTCTATTTCTTTGAGCAGATAAATAAAGCAATTAGATGATGCTATTGTATACAACACCCAACAAGGCACACGTTATTAATCATGTATGGTTTTCCTGTACTGTGGTGTACATGGCCTTGGATGCTAGCATACTAATATGTGACGCATCAAATACGATACATTGCAATGCAGGATATAAAATGGCGTCTAAAAAGTCCCGTTTGAAGAAAAAAATCAAGAAATAGGGGGGAAGACGAATAAGAAAAAGAATTCAGAACACACAAATTACAAGGCATTGGCGAGGACGTCAATGCAATTACATTGAAGCTATGTACTGTCACATGCATATAATACATATACAAAATGCATCTATACCTTTAAGACAACATTTTGGGAAAGGGAACTTCATCAATAGTTTGCACATTTTCATCCCTTCCATAAAATATCTTGGTTTATAAGTGTAACAGGGCACAAAGGAATCTGTTTGATATTCTTGGCTCTGTGCAAAATTGGTGTTATTGATATTGCAACTCTTAACATACATGTACATGACTACTGTAGATCAATTCATCCTATCTTCTGCTTACTCTCCCTTGTTAAGACTGAATACATGTATGTGCTCATCAAGGGGGAATCAACATTTTACTTCTGTTCTCCATATGGGGCTTTCACATATACACTCCGGGGCCCGTACGGCGAGTAAAATCAGACATTTTGGGAATTTTCGGCCGGCTGCCGTAAAGTTCCTACGGGCGCCGCGACAATTTTTTAAGCTGTACGGGCAACGTGGTGCTGAGTTGGCTGCTCCCAATTCTCCCGGCATTTTTATCTGACCGTTAGGCCGTAAAAAGCCCGTAAAGGGCCCGTAGGGCACCTTACAGGTTCCGTGCGGGCTCCGGACGGTGCCCGGACGGGCACCTCACGATTTTGTTAGGTAAATTTTCATGAAAATTTTTTACGGGCGCCTTGCGGTGCTCAAGGGTGCCGTACGTGTACGCTACGGCTACCTCACGGGCCTCTCAAGAGCCCCGGTGATATGCACAACACCGGAAGTCTGCCGTCCGGGGGCCATTTGAAATGAATATTGCCCGAGGCATCTCATAATGTACAACGCAACTTTAAATAAAGGAGGTGCGGATGTCAGAAAACACATAGTTCAGTGCACCGCACAGCACCCGCCCGGGCGCCTTGAGGATCCCGGCCGGGCCCCGGCAGGGCACCTTCCGGGAGCCATGGGTGCACCTGCTCATTGGGCAAAGCCCGTAAGTTTACCGGACGGCACCCTGCCGGCACCCTTACGGGCACCTTGCATTTCACTCGACCAATATTCACCGGGCACCTCCCGGGCACCGCAGAATATGTGACCACACATGCCGTAGAATATAAAATCGGAAGGTTCCCGTACGGTCTCTAAATCCACGGCAAGCCGCCGTGTAGGGAAAATGGTACGGGGCCCGGTTTATATGTGACCTAGGCATAGCGTGCCTAGATTTTTTACTCCATATATCCACCCTTTAAAATTTAGTGATCGTGTTCCCATTTATAAATGATTAAAGTATGAGGCACCAGATGGTGTGAACTTAAATAATCTCCTTTGAAATCTGTTTTTAGACTCATACCTCCTTTTATTTTGTTTAATGATTCTCTGATTAGTACATTGTAAACTGAGATGTAGCAAAAATAGAAATTTGATATGACATGTCATGGCAATAGTTCTTCAGCCTGTACCCTTATTTATTTCCTTTTCCATCTTTAATACTCTCCGGTAGTTCTAGCAGCACATCTAGGACAACCGCTCATGTAGGTTACACATATATGCCCAACATCCAAGTAAACGTCTTACCCATCAGTAATCACTTTGTCCATTTTTTTAGGGTATTCTCTTGATTCAGAGAGAATGTGGACCTACTATGTCACTTGATGTGGCTGAGTTAATATGCACCATGCCATCCTTGAAGGAAGCTTTTCTAGCAGGTGCATTGCATCATTGTTTTTTTGAAACACTTGCAAGGAAAGGAAGAGAATCAAAGGTGAGCAGTTCATCCACAATTGTGATGTTTCTATGATGGTTTAATTTAATTTTATCCCATTTACATCTCTTCCCTTTTCTAATCTACACTTTTACTTTTCTTTAATTCTTTTAAATGTAGCAAATATGCTGGTTCTTTTGACATAATGATATATCAATGGTCTTTTCACTAAGGCGGCAGCTGTGTTTAATAACAAAAGCATTTAAGTGTGCATACTAACAGTCGAAACTTAGAGGGTGGGCAGGGGAGTACCATATAATAATAATAATGATACTCAGTTTTTTTTATATAAACAGTTGTATGCATACAATTGTAATGTTCTAAACGAAACTCACATGTAGGAGGATCAGAAAAAAGCAGAAAAATAAGAGAACCAAATGATGTGAAAGTTTGAGCAATATTCGGTTAAATATACAAAAGTTTTTAATTTTTTATGTTGTCATCAGTAGAACACATATTTGCAACACTGTGTATATCTTGTGAGCTTCTCTCCAATTTGCTCTATAAAGAAAATTTCATGAACTTTAATTTTCTTAGTTATTGATAATGGAATAGATTTGTTTCATACATATTTTGTGTGCATGTTAGCGTGTACGTGTCTGAATTAGGAGTGCAAAGGACATTTTGCATGCTACCCTAACGACTGTTCTAAAGCAAACTAGGCGACAAATTTACATAAAATTGTTCAGATATTCATTACAAAAATGTAGGATTAGGCCGATTAATTTATAATTTGTTTTATAAATTAAGTCGTAGAACCAGATAAATATGGAAAGGGGAAATCGAGAAAAGGCAGAGATCAGTACGGTTCGCGATTCACGGCTAGCTCGATCTCCAGACGGGCTGGCTATGGTTATAGCCAACATCAAATTCTGTAGAACTTTGTGAAATCTGTGAAATTTAAATGTTAGCAGTGTCCTAAGATAATGGTAATAACATACATAGAATGAGCTGTAAATGGTACACGAGCATTTTTCTACATCAATAACCCACTTTATGTAATGGACAAAAATAAACTAATTGAATCTTTGGGCAGCACAAAACGTACGACCATACGGTACAATGATCTAAAAATCAGACTATTACTTACTGTCTTGGTAGCACTTTTGTCGTTTCGACAACTTATAGTCGTTATTTTCCCACTTTAAGACATTTTCAAGCTCCCTTTTTTAAGGGAAGTTCTAAATTAGTATTATCTTTCAAATGCTGTTGGAATTTAACGTTTTCATTTTTTTGGCCTGCAAATGGGACATAGTTCCTTTAAAGAACACGAAGACCCTTGTGAAAAGCTGCACCTTAAAGGGATAGTTGAGTTCTGTTTTCAGACTGCAAATACCTTCAAAGTGCACGGTTATTGCTCTTATTCTTATCCTTGACATTTATAGTGCCCTTTTAAAACCTACAATTACTATGAAGGTAATTTTAGACCCCAAAATGTGTGAAATACAAATTCAGCTCCACTTTAAAAAAAACACGGTGAACGTTAATTAATGATTTACTTAAAAATAACAATGCATGAGCCGGCTAATTGTGGGTAATATAAGCAACACGAAAATGCCAACAAAAAAGCCAACATCGGCATTGGCTGAAATACGACGTAAAAGGCGTTATTTTGTTTTTTTTCAACGGTTTTTTCGAATATTTGTGGTGGTACACAAGTATTAGAAATCGTTATATTTCAGCCGTCTCTGAACCGATTTTGATCAAACAAAGATGATTTTGTCATCGAAATATTATGTTCTTTCAAATTTGACACTCAATTTTTCATTATCTTACAAAAAATATTTTGTGTAGCTCCCTCTGCAACAGAACTCAACTATCCCTCATAGATTTTAATATTTTGCTAAGCTCCACCCCAAAAACCTCCAGATCTCATTCCCCTTGTGACATCATCTGTCAGTCATCAATGAGCTAACTTGAGAAAGTGGCATGTAACTTAAGTTTGCCAAAGTTGACCACCTGTTACAATACCACAAACAATAGCAACATATGAGTTGCTATGTCAGACATGTCAGACTAAACTAATATTCTAGAATAGACAATGGTATGAAATTTCCCCAGCTTAACACACGTTCATAATAGAATTGCATGCTTCCATACATATGTACAATACATCATCATTGCAATTGTCTTCCAACTATGTATGTTGCTATTGTATTGTAACAGGTGGGGTGGGGTCTGAAGGTTTTTCAGGTGGAGCTTAGCAAGTTTGAAAAACAAATATTTCAAAAAATATTTAAAAATCTATGAAACAAATTTAGAAGTTTACATATCAAAATATGAGATGTATGCAGGACTGCACACCAACAGGAATACACTTGTATTTCGATGTCATGGGCCCTTTAACTTAACTAATGTCCTTGCTTGTACTGGGAAGGGTGGTTTCTAACTTTTCTAAGCTCTGGCAGGTAGTCTACATCTAACTAACTACGGGAATCCATAAAGCCCCACCACCTGTTTCATCTAACTAATCTACATACCGATACTTAAAGCACCGACACCCTGCGCGGTTCAATTCATCCAACACTTGATTGGGACAGTATAAACAAGAGTGAACGTTTGGGCGTAGTGTCTCTAGAAGAAGAAGACCAGTGATAGAAATAACGAGAAGTAATGATCACATGGTGCACATATATACATCAATATATTTTTTTTTTCATTTCAATTGTTTGTAAAGTTAAATGCCTTCACTTGATACGTTGGAATAATCATGGAATGAAAGCAAACTACACTTTCTTGTTTTAGATTTTGTTGAAACGTTTTATTTTTTGTAATGATGTCATCCTTGACTGAATAGACCCTTTCGCTCTGTCTCAATGTCACCTCTCCCCTTTCTTCTAATTCTCATTCCCTCCTCTTCCCTTTCTTCTTTTTCTCATTCTCACCTCTTCCTTTTTTTGTATTGCTCTTGTATGTTTGTGTGAGACTGTGGGTGTGTGCATATATATATACATGGTTGATACCCGCTGTAGTAAATGTTTGGTTTTGTTTCCCCTTCTAAATACACACATGTATACCTTGTGAGTTTGATTTTGTTTTGCAATTTAATTTAATATCGTGTTTGCCTTCATAAGGGCCTCACTTATGCGGTGGTCACATCCCGCCGTACTTGCAAGTGCGTGCTGTCTACGTGCAAAAACGTGGGCAAAATTTGGGTATCCGTACGTAATGAGTACCGCCTCCGTACGGATTTGGGAGCACGCAGACACACCGTAGCACTTTTAGTGCACGAGGAACTTTCGCTGCGTTCGGGCTGCGTTCGGGCTACCGATTCACCCCAGTGCGTGTGACGTGCGTGCCCAGTACTGCCAACGAGCGCACAACGCACTGACTCCGTGCGTCTTTTAAAGGCGCACGTGATAAGTGCGTGGTCCGTGCTTACTCGCCACTTCCCCAGTTCAGCTATCCAATGAGCACGCAGAACTCACGTGGACCGTACCGAGTAAGCACTTACAACGCACGTTGTTCGCACTGATTTATGCAGTATATAGTCTCTTCGGTGGAATGGGCGGCATCTTGAGGCAGCAACAGCTGGGACTTCTGGAGAATATCGGAATGTCGTCCTATATAAACACCGAGTTCATCGCACGTGCACGCACTTACAACATGGGAGTGAGTAAGGACACCGTTCGTGAACAGCACTTGTAAGTACGGCCTCCGTACGATAACGTGGCAACCGCACGGAGACCGTACGTTGTAAGCACGTTGTAAACACGTTGTAAGCACGTACAACGTACAACGCACTTACCACGTGCGCAACGTACGATGCACGCAACCGTGTGGGCCACGTACTTACACAGTGCGTGTAACGCGCGTTGCCGGTACTCCCTCCTTTTGCCACTCCCTCCCTACGTTTTCAGAAAAACGTGGTGGCCGTGGCCTCCCCAAAAACCGTACGGACTAAAAACACGCACGGTGGGATGTGACCAACGCTTTACCAATCACAAGTTATTTCTTGGAGGTCCTGGCCTGTTATGTATTTTGTTATGATTTGTAATTTTCTGTTCATGTCAAATAAATTGAATTGAATTGAATTGAATTTAAAACTATGCATGTGGAAATTCAGTCGAAATTAAATTGTGTATAAGATTTGCAAAATTTTGATCAATAATCAATATCCAACCTTTTCTAAGTTTGATTGATAGGAAAAATATGTCAAAAGTTTTTTTAAGAGCCAATTTTAATAGAAGGCTTGAATTAACAACACTGTACCATAGCAACAAACCTTCTGACTAAGGGGTCTTGTGCACATGCAATCCAGAGTTATGAATACCTTATATGCATGATTAGCAGATGCGGATTTCTGAATATTATTAATTTCAGTGTTAGTAGGAGAAGGACCTAACAATGCAAACAGGTTAGACGCCCTAAAATTAATTATATAGAATTTTAAACAAAATACTCTTACTTAATCATCTTCTTCATGGAAACTTTAGTGTGTTTTTTCTCTTCTAAATAGACAAGGATTGAATTTGAAAGTAAAATTTATTCATTTACTTTTGTTGAGTATGTTGTTATGAATGCAACTATGTAACTACCCGCGGTAATGGAATTTGTATGAAATGTAAGAATACAGTGAGAAATTAGTAAATAAAATGAATGCATTTATGGATGAGTTACCTAACTATATACACCATGAATGCAGGTCAAGTATCTCGATCTTAACCTCATCGAGTCTCCTTCACCAGCCTCATCACATCACCTGGCAGAAGCACTGTGTACTATGCCAAACCTGACTGACCTGACACTTGGAACGGGTCTCAATGATGAGTTCTACTATACATTGAGTGCAAAGGCATCATCCATACAGGTATGTGGGTCATCATGTAAATGTCATGGAGAGTCATTGATCGACAGAATCGGCAGTAATAGTTATATGGTGCACATGTGTATACCGGGGATATGTTTTCTTTTCTTCCAAACACCCACCTCACTTGGTATATTGCAACAATTCAAATTCACATTCATTTGGCAAAACATAAAAACATCAAAATGAAATAATTACAAATGTAATCATTATAAATACCGGGATTGCTGAAATAAGTTAAAAACTTGTAAACAAGCAACCCCAAACATAAAAACATACAGATACAATACGATGAAATACGATACAATACAATAATAACAATGTTACATACTAATAAAATATATTAATCAATTATGTAATCATTAAACATGGAATGAAAGAAAACTACACATGTACTGATTCAGTTGAAAGTCAAGTTTGTATAAGATTGATATATCCAAGGAAAAATATGTATAAAGTTTTTAAGAGCCAATTTTAATAAAGGCTTGAATTTACCAAACTGAACCTTATCAAAAAAACCACCTGACTTAGGGATCTTGTTCACATAAAATTAGGAGTGATGACTACATTTAATACTTAACGGTAATAGCAAATGTAGATTTATGGGTATTATTAATTTCAGTGTTAGAAGTAGGACTTATAATGCAAACATGTAAGAAGTCCTTTAAAGAATATATATAGATTTTTTTTTAATCACTCTTACTTATCAGCCTCTCAATAGAAACTTTAATGTTCTTTTTTTTTCAATAGACATAAAATAAATTGTAAAATTAAAAAATTAAGTCATTCATTTTTGTAATTAATGGAATTGGAATAAAATGTAAGGATACGATGAGAAATCAGTAAATCAAATGTATGCATGTATAGATGATAACTTAACTATATTCACCATGAATGCAGGTCCAGTCTCTCGATCTTAACTTCATCGAGTCTCCTTCACCAGCCTCATCACATCACATAGTAGAAACACTGTGTACTATGCCAAAACTGACTAACCTGACACTTCCAGTGGTTCTCAATGAGGAGTTCTACTCTACATTGAGAGCAAAGGCATCATCCATACAGGTATGTATGTCCCGATTTAAATGTCATGGATGGTCATTGATCGACAGAAACAGCAGTAATAGTTATATGGTGCACATGTTTATATGTTTTTTTTTCTTCCACTTGGTAATCGGAACAGTCATGAAACATGGTATAAAAGCAAACTGCACATGTACTGATTCAGTTGAATGGCAAGTGAGTATAAGGTTGACATTGTTTTGATCAATAAACAGTATCCAAGTTTGCTTAATAGGAAAAGTTTTGCATATAGTGCCAATTTTAATAAAGGCTTGAATGTACCAAACTGAACCATAGCAATAAACCTCCTGACTTAGGTGGCTTGTGCACATGAAATCCAGAGTTATGAATTCCTTTAATACATTAAAGGGATAGTTGCGTTTTGGTATAGAGGGCGCTACACAAAATGATTTGTATGCCTCCGCTACAAAGTAGCCAGAGGCATTGTGTTTTCTGGTTGTCTGTCCGTACGTCCGTCCATACGTACGTCTGTACCTCCCGTTTTGTTGGCTTTTTGTTGGTTATATTACGCACAGCCAGCCGGCCCATGTATTGTTATTATTAATTAATTGATTAATTAACGGTCACCATATTTTTTTGAAAGTGGACCTGAATTGGTATGATCGGATTTAATCTAAATTTTACAGATTTTGGGGTCTAAAATGACCTTCATAGCAATTTTAGGTCCTAATAGGGCACTAGAAATGTCAAAAATAAGAATAAGAGCAATAACCATCACTTTGAAGGCATTTGCGGTCTTAAACAAGAACTCCACTGTCCCTTGAATAGCAAATGCATATTTTGGGGTACGATTAATTTCATTGTCAGTAGGAGTAGCCCTATGAATAATACATTTATAATTTTGAAAAAAAAATCACTCTTACTAAATCATCCTCTCCGTAGAAACTTTATAGTTTATTTTTCTCAATAGACAAGAATTAAATTTGAAAATTAATTCATTTTTGTTGAGAATGTCATTTTGAATGCAACTATGTAAGTAATGGAATTTGTGTGAAATGTAAGAATACAGTGAGAAATTAAATTATTAAATAAAATGTATATATTTATAGATGAGTTACTTAATTATATTCACCATGAATGCAGGTCCAGACTTTCAGGCTTGAAACTGTCCCGTCTCCGATACCAGCCCCATCAAATCCCCTCCTTGCAGAAGCACTGTGTTCTATGCCAAACCTGACTGACCTGACACTTGGAATATTAATCAATGAGGAGTTTTACTCCACATTGAAAGCAAAGGCATCATCCGTACAGGTATGTGTGTCCTAATGTAAATGTCAAGGAGAGGGTTATTGATAGACAGAAAAAGCAGTTATGGTTATATGGTGCACATGTATATTTGTTTTGTTTAAATTTTTTTTTTTTTTTCTTCAACAAAGCCACTAAAGTCACGAAAGCTGTGCAAATCTCCACTTGGCAATTTGGTCACTGGATTGTAACAGAGCTACAGACAACTCTCCTGTTGGTCATATCAACAAATATCAATTAACTGTTTAACTCCTAAGCACGTTCTGTGTTGGGGAACTACTCAAAATAATTGTGGATAGCATATTATTAAAGGCTCTATAAAGTCTAAACAGAAAAGAAACTCCTGAGTCAAATAATTTGAAATTTAATTTGTCATGAAATATATTTGACTGTGACAAGAAAGAAAATAAAACAAATAGAACTTTACTGCCTGAAAATGAGGTGGCAGTGCCTGAATATGGTGAATTAAAACTTCGGGGGGGGGGGGGGGGGGGCGGGGATGGGAAGGAGGAAGTGGTTTCAGATCCCCCCTTCCCACAGAGAGCAAGCAGAAATGACGAGACTTTCATTCAGTTATGATGTTGTCCTAACATGTATGATGTATCCAATTAAAGCAGACAAAAGGAACTAGCCTTTTTTTTAAAGCTCAAGTGAGCTATTGCTGTGATTATTGCTTTTTGACCGTCCATATCCTTTCTAAATTTATAAATTCTTCTCAAAAACGTGTGGCAAAATATTAACAAAACTTGGTAGGCATCCCCTGCAGGAAAGAGAGATCTAAATTTGTTCAAATGGGGTATATGCCCCCAAGGGGGCTTAAGGGCATCATCCCCCAAAGTGCCCATTTTGCAATAATTAGACATTTTCTACTGTTAGTAAAGGGGATGGGAGCTTATTGCGAGGCCCCTACTTTCATTGGCTCAGGTGAGTGTAAGGTCTGTGGATCTCTTGTTTAACGTGATATTTATGGCAGGATGCATACAATTGTGGGCTGCTATTTAAGAAGATTATAGTAGGGATATATTCTTGCAGACATCATGCACCTGAAATTTGGAACTTGCTTCCAACTAAAATCTTCAAGTACCTTTCAGAATGCAATGTTATTGATTCCTGATTGCGTGTGACTCTCACTGAATATATTTATTTAGCTTTCCATCTCTCTCTCTCTCTCTCTTCTCTCTTTTTCACCTCTCTCTCTCTCTCTCACTTATCTTTTTCACCTTTCTCTCTCTCTCTTCTTCCCCTCACATTTCTCCTTGGCTATCTTTTTTACTTTTGCATCCTATCGTGTTGTATTTCATGTACACGGCTTGTGCCGGTTGTCATGCAATTACTTAATGATACTATCCGAAACTTTACTTGCTACTTGTTTCTTACTATACTTATCAAATCTAATTTGAGAGGAAGCTGTCCAGACAAAACCTTCTCTTGGTTGTTTTACAGCTGTGTCTTATTCTGTTTGTATTAATTCATTGTACATGTATATGTTATTTCAATTTATGTATTATACGTTACATGTAATTGCATGTTTTTACCTTTGTAAAACTGTTTTAAAGATGGAATTGAATAAACTGAACTGAAATGATATACATATGTCTTAGAATGGTATTTCCACCTTGTTTTCACCTTCTGTAGGGTGCCCTTTTCTTAATGTTAGTTCCCCCTTCATTTCAAAAGATGCTCCTCCGCCCCTGTTTTTAGATCATTGTTAAAAAAGGCATAATTCAACTGATATTTTCACATTGCGCTAAAGTACAATTTAAGTTTATTGAATTAAAAAAGTCCTTTCCGTAGGAAGGGAAACCCCTCCACATACCACCACCCCCTGTTCCCTTGAGGAAAGCCCTATCATCCCTAGCCATTATCCTGTAATGGCAGCTATTGACCTGGGTAGCATGTTATTGTCCTGGGAGTAGTTGCCCTGGGGTTAGTTGTCATGAGAGAAGTTGCCCTAGGGGATTCATGGTCCAGGGGATAATTGTCTTTGCCTTGGGAAGTGATTGTCCAGGGGATAATTGTCCTGGGGGTTTGATTGGTCCAGGAGGTAATTGTCCCGAGGCTCATTGTCCTTGAGGTACTGTATAATTATAAGCAGTAATTTTTGTGGGGATTTAATATTCACAAACACTCATTGTTTGCAAATTTAACAAGGCGTGGAATATTTCCAGCAAGTAATGTGGCTTGTCAAAATCACTAAAATAAGCCCAGGTGTAGCGGAGCATCTTCCAAAGTAGGGGGGGGGGGGGGACCAACAAAAAGGGCACTTTCTGGAACATAAGGCCCCCAAGAAGGGAAATCCCAAAGCGAAATATACCATTTTCAGACATTGGTATATACTCCTATATTGTGATTACAATATCAGGGATGATTTCAATATGTATTCTTTCTTTCCATGGTACAAGATGCTGCTTACGAATCATACTTTGCAGTTCGGTGTGATGGTCTTGAGTATTCATTCGAAATTTTGAAATTTGTGAGGTCGCAGTGCGAAAAATTACATCTTATAAAGAGGAAAAAACAATCCTGATTGGGTAATAAGAACAATCTTATCATGAAAGACAGAAAAGACATTTGATAAGAAAAATATTAACATCAACTATAAATGCGAGTGAGGGGGAATATTAGAGAATGAGTTGCTCATAGCTGCTTTTAATTAGGGGCACATTTTTGGGTAAAAGGCAAAGGGGACACTTTTCAAAAGGGATAAAGAGACATATTAGAAAAGATAAGGAGCACGTGTAAAAGTAAAGGTAATTATCAGAGGTGAAAATGTGGCACTTCTCACACCTGAAAAGAGGGACTCACCAGAGATGAAAAAAGGCACTTTTGAGAATAGAAAATTGGCACTTATTTATATAGGAAAAGTGGCATTTGTTGAAAGAAAAGGGGCATCTATCAGATTTTAATTGGGGTAATTATCAGAGGTGAAGGGTGCACTTATTAGAAGTGAAAAGGGGCACTTCTCCTACCTGAAAATAGGCACTTATGAGAATGTAAAATGGACACTTATTGCAAAGGAAAACGGGAATTTGTTGAAGGAAAAAGGGCATGTGTCAAAATAAAAGAGGCACTTATTTAAAGGGGAAGTGGCACCTCTTACAAAGGATAAGGCCGCATTTGGGGGTACTCCCCCCCCCCTCTCCCGAAGCGCCGCCTCTGCGTGACCACAAATACATGTATATTGTAATGGGGCACTTCAATAAATTACTGTCATTCATTTCTCCCGAAATATTTCAATTGTTCTTACTCTACCCTTTTAAAATTCTCCATACATCTTTTTTTCTTCTTATTTTCATTTTATTTAAGGGATCTAACTGTCTGTAGCTCTTGAGTGTATATTCCCAAGAATAAGATTATGTACAAAAATGAAATAGATCCACTTACTTGAAACTGATACAAGGATAACAAGCAATGTTGCTGTCATATGTTACAGGGTTGTTTTCCTCAGATCAGGAAAGGAAACTTCAAGTTCGATGAAGTTGCTCAAGTTGACTTGAACTCATTTCTTCACACCCTCTAATATTCGCAAAGGTCAGTACAGTAAATGTGACTTTAAAATATATAATTCAGATAACAGCATATAGACTTTTCACGAGTGGTGCTATATAGAACAATATAAAGAGCCTCTAATGTAATATGAACAAATACAATGCTGATATATACCCCACCAATTTAAGATTTCTTTTCTGTCAGAAAGAAATAATCATTGGCAGCTGAAGATGACTTGAACTCATTTGTTTAGACCCTCGCTTGTTTGCAAAGGTCAGTACAGTATATACGATTAAAAAACAAAAAATCAGATAACAGCATGTATACTTTTTATGAATAGTGCAATACAGAAACAATATAAAGAGCCTCTTATGGCATACCTGCCAACTGTTCCGATTTAATCAGAATATTAAGATTTTTTCAAAATTCTGAATGACCCTTTTTTTTTCTTCTTTTTTTTTAAAGCCAATTTTGCTAGTTTTAACAGCCTGTTAAAAGTACAGATTTCTTATTTTCAAATGTTGGCAGGTATGTAATGGAATAATAAGAAAAGATACAATGCTGATACCCCAGCAGAGAGCATGCAATAAAGTGATACTGTGTACCTTGAAATAATTTAAGATTTCTTGTCTGACAAAACTTAATATTCAGTAACAGCTGTACTGTAAAGTGCTTTCAACCTAAACTTGTAGATTCTTTTGTGTGTTTTGGGTTTTTTGTGTGTGTGTTCTTGATGTTTTTGTTACACTGTAGTCTCTTCTATTTTTGTTTCTTCTTCTTCATTTGCTGATCAAAATGTTTCTTGAGACTTGTACATTCAATGAGACCAAGAGTAGTTGATTTTTTTATTTCTCATCTTTCATTCAGATAATAAGAACAAAATCTGTTTCCTTTATAGGTTCTATGACTCAGCACACTTAGGCAACTCTAATGACTCGTATGTCTCGGCCAACTCAGGCAACTCAAATAACTCAGACAACTCAGCCGACTTGGGTAACTCAAATGACTCGGACAACTCAGCTGACCTGGGCAGCTCAAATGACTCGTATGTCTCGGCCAACTCAGGCAACTCAAATAACTCAGACAACTCAGCCAATTCAGCCAACTTGGGCAGCTCAAATGACTCGTATGTCTCGGCCAACTCAGGCAACTCAAACAACTCAGACAACTCAGCCAACTTGGGTAACTCAAATGACTCTGACAACTCAGCCGTCTTGGGCAACTTAAATGACTCGTATGTCTCGGCCAACTCAGGCAACTCAAATAACTCAGACAACTCAGCCAACTTGGGTAACTCAAATAACTCAGACAACTCAGCCAACTTGGGTAAGTCAAATGACTCGGATAGTTCGGCTGACTCGGGCAACCAGCTCTGCTCTGTTGTGTAACCCTCCAGTCTCTGGATATCGTCAACCTATCATGTTGAGATGGCACATTCAGATGCACCATTCAACCAATGATTGTAGAGCGGGCAAGATCTAGCTGACCTCGGCCTAGTCAGGATCACTTTACTACAGGATTTCATTCAGCTTCCCAAGACCGGCCAATTGTACAGGAAAGAACAAGTTCTTCAAGTAGCCCAGGTTCTTCCAGTCAGGTATCACATTCAACCAGCTTTTCGTCTCCAATCCAAAGTACAAGCAGTACTGGCAGAGATAAAAACTTTCATTTTTGTAATACGTCAGATACAGTATGTCAATTTTCTCAGACATACAAAGGTATCAACAGTCGGAGCAGGTCTCACAAGAGGCAAGCTCCTTGTACTCATTCAAGAGTTCAACAGGATGATCCTGAAATTGCAGTGAATTCTAGTTGCTATGGTATCTGTAGAGTAAGACAGTGTCCCACTGGTAACACTTCATCTTGACTTTGTGTATGTATCATACAGGGCTCCACACTAACTTTCTTTTTGGAAAAGAGGTTCAGATTTAATTTTTAACAGTCTGTAGGCATGAGCCCTAAGTAAAAACTTCCAAATTCGGGGGGTCCGGACCTAGATTATGAGCGTCCATGTGTCCCGGCGAGCCTGGATGGTTTTGAGCCCAGGACTGATAGCAAGAAATTTGGGGCAAAAGGGGATAATTTGTGGTGATGTTTGAAAACATTTGAATATTCGTAAAAAGGCTGTTTTCTTTTTTGTCTTCACCTTGATGAGTACAGTCCACTATCTGGGGTTAGTGTATACATTTTACGAGAAAGGGATCATGACAATGTCACAACGTTTGAAAACATGTGAAAGGCCTATGTAGAAAGTGATGCAAAAATAGGATACGTTTTGTGAATGTGTACTGAATGAGCCCGAAACAGAGTAGTACCAAGAGCCCATTGTGTGCTTGTTTTATGAAGGAAGGGATCATATTTTCCTGGGAACTATTTTTGAAAATACTTAAAATTTGCTATGATGATGCATTATGCCTGTGTATAAAAGGTGACAACACTAGCAGTGGACTAGTAGTTATATTGATAATAATGATGGCTTCTGATATAGTACACACGCCCGTCATGCCATGACAGTTTAGGCGCTCAAACATTATTATTCTGGCGGCAGCCAAATATGTAGCACTTTCGGCATATCAGCTAGGTGCCTACCTGGGTGGAGAGTGGCAAATGAGGACTAATGCCTTGCCAAGGATGTTAGTGCATTAGACAGATTATGTAGTGCCTGTACCAAGTATATGTGTATTGTAGACTTTTACTATTTTCGTTTTTGGTGATTTGTATGCAATGTATGAAATACCACTCAACTTTCACAAAGTGCGTTATGAGGTTAAAGATCCTATCCGATGAAAATACAACTTGATATAAATGGAAAACTGAATGAATGTAGAATACAAATATAAAGGAATAAAAGTATTTACCCTATCTCAAATTTACAGTGACGACATAATATGTGTTCACCTATATAGCTGAGTCAATGGACAGTGCTTAATTAATGCAAAGTCATTGTGAACATGGGTACTCCACATATCATGATGTCTTCAAGTCGATAGCAAGTTTATAGGTCGGCAACTTCCGATTTTCAAAGCTTTAGATTTTTTGTTTTCAGAGAGCGGATACTCCTCTGACAGACCCTAAAATTGCATATTATTGATATAATGTAATCTTTGGCTTATAAGCTTTACGTTGAAATATAATTCATCCATTTCATTTTTCAGTTCGGATATGGTCTAGTGTGTAATATGTCAGATTTTGTATCAAAATATCACTGTATTTGTCAATGTCATTGCACATGTTCAATACAAATATAATTAAGTAGAATCTAAATTAACTTGTGAATTTGTTACCGGAAATTACCCAGATGTTAAAAGCCATAATGCTCTTGTTATCTTGTCAATGAACTTAATAGAACTCGGTATACTTAAGAAAAGCTTTGTCTGGTAAGGGTGTATGTCATAGGCCTGAGATAACAGTGTAACGTTTTATCTGACATGGAATGTTGTTTGTAAATTTAGAGCTAAATCCAGTTCTAGATTTCGAAATCCATTTGAGGAAATATTTTCCAAGATTTTCTTTACATCTTTCCAGTGTACTGTATATGTAAATATGCTGCTATAATTGTAAGATACATGTTTCATTTTCTAAGATGCCTGAGTTATCAGTGTAATATTCAATTTCACATGGATTATTATTTGTACAGTGTAACTACATTCACCAGTACTATATAATAAATCCATTTGAGGAAATATTTTCAAGGTTTTATTTTCATTATTCCAGTGTACATGTAAATATGCTACTATAATTGTATTTTTACGATACATGTTTATTCTAATTGTATTCAGTACTCTCTGGATTTCAATAATGCTGATGATATATATTCCAGGCTTTTATTTGCATCATTACGATTATGATTATGCAATGTTACGATACATGTATATTTTGAACTTGTATATGTTTGCCATATGTACTTGCCTTGTAATTAAGTTTGATATTTTAGTAAGTTTGTATTCCTGATTGGCTTATAACATACAAATGTAGATACTTCTCTTTTGAGCATTCTGTTACCTTGCCTTTTGATCACCATTCTCTTCTGATTAAGTGATGTCATTTTTATAATCCACTCATAATAGACAATGCAAATCGCTCAGATCTATGAGTTTATTCTGAATTGTGTCATGCAAAAGGATGAAATAAGTGTCTTTCTATGTATATATTGGATAATCATGAATTACTGAAATAATTTGCAGTGCCTTAGATATTTCAACAGTTTAATGTACAAAGGAGACAAAAGAACTTGCAAGTTGTAGTTTGATGATGATGTATTTGTTAGTGAGTATCCTATTAGCTGAAACGGTGTCACATACATGGCACTCAACATTCTGTTATATTTGCACGACTGTGCAATATAACTACCTTATTTTTCATGATATAACGCATGCAAAAGTGAATTAGACTGCGCATATCTCTTCTAGTTCACTATGCGTTACCCATTATTTGCATTGTCTTAACTGCACGCATCTGACGCGAAGGCAAGCTGAAAATAATCGGGCCTGACTCCAAAGGTTCGCAAATACCCACAATTTTATATAATAAATATTTCATGTAATTCATTGTACAGTGTAATATGTATTCATCTCCAAATTCAGAATTCTTTTCATGCCATTAAATAAATTATTACAAATTATTTCATTCACCTGTTACAAATAATTGTATTTCAATAATCAGAATGTAAATTGCATATATTACGTGTTGTTAGGTAGGGCAAGCCATAATGTTTGTCCTACCTAGCAACAACTAATGTATGAATTTGAATCATGACTATTGAGATACATTGGTTCTGAACAGGTGAATGAAATAATTCGTATCGAGGCGCTTCAGAAAGGCATATGCATAAATTTGGTGTACATGACAGAAATGGCCTATTGATGTGTTTGTCATAAGCAGTCATGTTTCTAAATTGAATAAACAAGGAAGATTTAAATTATCAATCTCTGATCTCTTTTTCTGATGTGTAATCTAGGATAGACATGGGGAGACGAAGAGAGAGAGAAAGAGAGGGAGTGGGGGGGGGGGGGGGGAAGGGGGCTAGGGGGTAGAAAGAGCAAGAGAAGGGGCTATGACAGAGTGAGGGAGGGAGGGGTCTACGGAGGGAGAGAAAGAGGGGGTTTGGGCTTGGGAGGGAGAGGGAGAGAAGAGATAAACGGACCCACACATTTAAACTTCAAAGGGAGGAAGCAAGAAAAAACAAAGATATAGAGGAGCAGAAAAGGGAGATGCTAAGAAAAACAAACGGGGGAATTCAAAAAAATGAGAGAGAGAAGATCAATAAAAGAGGAATTCAACAAGGGACGGAGCATGGGAAATGGTAATAGCTAGTTGACTTTGAAGGGCGACCGAATGAGAAGAAAGAGAAAAAAGCTAGGGAGGGTGAGGCACAAAGGAAATGGGGAGATTTGAGAGAGAGAGAGAGACATACATCAATATTGAAGAGAAATATGAAGAAAGGATGACGAAGGAAGAGAGGGTGGGGGCGAAATCTGTAGAAATGAGTGAAATTGGGGAGGGATGATGGAGTGGAGGGGGGGGGGGGGGGGGGAAACGAGCATGAAAAACGGTTAACGGGTGATACAAGAGATAATAAACATTCATGATATAGAGGAAAGGGGGGTAAAGAAATGTAAGTAAGAGGAGCAGAAACAAGGGAGATATACCGGGACAAAAATAAACAGAAATATGGAGGAATGGGACATGAGCTAGAGAGAGAGAGAATACAATAAGGGTGGTAAAGAGAGAATTGAAAGCTTGGGAGGAAGAGAGAGAGAGAGAGAGAGAACAAAATAGTGAGAGAGACCATGAGAACTTAATGGAAATGGGAAGAGAGAGAGAGAGAGAGAGAGAAAGAGAAAGAGGGAGAGCAAACGAAAAAGAGACATAGAAGCAATCAGTTGCATTATCTAATACATTATATTTTTTCTTTCATCTTTATCCCTCAAAAACGCATTTTTAAAATACATTTTATTCATAGAGAATTTCACTAACTGGTAGCCTTCCCACAGATCTTCAAAAAAGGTTGCATAGCCCTTAGAAGATTAACAGAATAATTGGAAGAAGAAGAGCTGCAACCATAGTCGTTTACGGCCATATTTTCACGAGGGGAGGTTGAGGACTCTTGCCACTAAAAGAGTAACTTCCTTTTTGCGGGTGGGTGGGGGGGGGGGGTTGCATTCATTTTCTACACGTATCTAGCGATTTTTTTTTTAATTGTTATTTATTGTTAGGGGGGCTTGAGCCCCAAACCCCTCGAGAACCGCTACTAATATTACTGCCTAATCCCAGGAAACCTACTAGCTCTGCTAAGAGTGCATAGATGAATACCTCAATTCATTATGCAACTAAACAAAGTTACTAACACTATATTCCCCTCCTTATTTTTTAGGAAAAAACCCAGAACTGTTCCGACAAATAATATTTCCCTAATTCTGAGATTTATGTAAGTTAAAAATAGTTCAAGTATTCATGAAAGGAAAATGACACCCAGCCAAATCTAGCTGACAGCTTTGTTACAAAGATTATGAGGCAGTTAAAATTATCTTGAACTTACTAATAATTTATTACTTAGAAATGAAAACAATCACTCCACATTTTGCAGCTTCCTTCCAAGCCATTATTGTGTTAGGTCGCCATTTTTATTGAAATAGTAATGTTAGAGCAGTACAACTTGTGAGATACCTACTGACCTGTATTTTAGTTACAGTGTAGTACATTTACCTGTGAAATGTACGACTATGGTTTCCTAATATAAACTGGTTTTGTAATGCATTTAAATGAATGGCTGTTCTCTCATAACGTAAGGTCACAAGCTATTTGGTTCAGCTGTTTTAAACAGTTGAGCAGTTTCTTTTGTTAAACATGTATGAGAAATTATGTTTTCAGGACAAGCTCATAGAACAAAGGGTCTTGGGAACCACTTATACGGATGGGGCTACGGGCCCGTTTCAGGGCCCCTTCAGTTTGTAGGGGTACTGGAGTTCGGGGTGGAGATGGCCGTCACGAGTGATAGAGAAATCATCTCTCATTCTCTCTTCAATATCAATTTTATATAACAGCTGTTTTTTCGTACTGTTTTACTTCCCTCCGAAGTTTTCATAGGCCCATGCCGAGCAACCTTATCGGACCTCTACATGTAATCTTTCTGTGTAAATTTAAGCTTCATATCCCCCTTTTTTTCTCTCTCTGTCTCTCTCTGTCTCTCTCTGTCTCTCTATCTTTCCTTCCCCTCTCCCTCTCCTATTCTTTTTAAAGCCCCTCTAAAGTGTTAGGAGCCCCACAATTTTTATGGTAAAATTTTAGTTGAATTGTATCATAATGTGAAAGAGGATGTTATTTAGGACACATTTCTGCAAGCATTTTCAAAACAAATGTGTTTGAAGTCGAAAATTGATGGAAGAATACA